ATGTATATGTGTATTACCTTCTCCACATAAGGAAAATTTCACTTAGAAGTTTAAATAACTTCCCCAGTTTACCAGAACTAGTGAATAACGGGACATGGATTAAAATTCTTGAGCCCATGTTTTATACTATATTGTAGAATATTCCTGCAGGGGATGTGAGATTTTACATATACACACACATAGAGTACTTAGTAGAGTGCAGAGGCCAAGAAAGACATGGTAATTGATCCATACCATGTATTAATTGTAGTGATAGTATTAGTAAACAATATTTTATCCTAAAGTTCTCTGTGAGTAATTTTAATTAAAATTAGATAATTTTCAAGAAATTATTTAGTTCCCTGAGATTTTGTTACTAGTATTTTTTATTAATGGAACATTGGTTTATAACAATATAGAAGTTTCAGGTATACAGCATTATAATTCAGCCTCTGTATTCTCTGTATTGTGATCACCACCAAAAGTCTAGTTCCCATTCTTTAGCATACAGTTTATCCCCTATACCCCTTTCACCCACCTTTCTGCCCCCTACCCCTCTAGTAACCGCCATTCTGCTCTCTGTACCTAAGAGTTTGTGTTTTATTTGTTCATTTCTTTTATCTTCCACATATGAGGGAAATGATAACAGTATTTGGCCCTGACAGTTTTTTTTTAATCTTGGTTATATTTTCTGTTCATAAGGAAAATGTTACTATAGATTAATAAGGCTTGAAGGACCTTAAAGATATTTTATTCCAAGCTCTCATTTAAAGCTCAAAACCCTTATCTCACTGCAGTTAGTACCTATTCAGCATGTGCTTGGTGCTTCAGTGACAAAAACTCTCTCCACTGTGTCTCAGGTTAGGAGGCTCTGGAAGTGGCTCTGATAGTGAATTTTTCATTCATTTTGAGCCAGCAATGAAATGTTTACATTAAAATCAATATTTTCATTAATCTCCCAGGATGAAATACTTTTCTTGCTAAAATGAAGATTTATGCTCACTTTACTTACTCTTGAGATTTTATTCTAGCAAGGCAGGAAACTCATTATCATTAAAGCATTATAAAATGTCTATATTTCATATAGAAGGTTAGTGCATAAGCATTTCCAACACCTTTAATCAAAAGATCAGTCTAAATAAAAGTTCTAAAGTACACTGAATAAAATTTGAATAAAATATCTGTCATAGCAGATATTAAAAGCAATACAATAATGAAGTGAAAGTCATTCTCTAGTATTTCTCAGATATTAGACATGAAATAATATCACCGTTCAAGAATTTTATAAATATATAGCTCACTCGTAAAATATATTAAGATATAAAACAAATTATGTAAAAGTAAATATGCATGTTTACTCCAGATACTTGTTAGGCTTTTGCATTTCAAGAATGATAGCTATTATAGAAAAAAAATAAAGAGATCTGTATTGTGTGTAGTTACTATAGGGATATGGAGTAAAACAAAGAGAAGTTCAGAGCAGAGATTGTTTTGAGTTTAGAATATGTTTCATTAGATTATTAAATTTTATGATTATGGTAACCATCACTCTAGCTGGATTTCCCAGTCAGAAGACAGAAATAACTGATAACAGTTTCTCCCAGTTTGCTACTATACACATATGAAGATATTGAAAATTGAGACTGGCTGAAAATCTACTTCAGGAACCTAGAAGCACCCAGTAGAATGCACAAAAAGGAAAAAAATAAAGGCCATATCCCTGCTCTTGGATAGGTCATGGACGGATATAAAAAAATTGCAAAATTAATGTTTATGTGTAAGGTAATCCTGTTAAAAGTACTGTTTTCCCCACTCCATTAATTTCCTGGAACTAACTGTTCATTCCAAATTGAGAAAAGTTCTTTCTAAAAATGAGATAGAAGAGGAGGCACTTAGTCCTACTAGAAAATAAAATGTCTGCAATTTAAAGTGTGATCTTTGCATATGAAGAAAAAGATCAAGGGAATCTAGAAAATCCAGGAAAATACCAAAATACATATCAAAATGCCATGGATAAAATTTCAGATGAGTGAACTTTTAAATAAATGGGTTATGGATAACTATTTCCATCTAGAAAATAAGATTGGACATATTTTATCTGTATGGATAAATTACATGTATGAAATAAATATAAAAATGAAAGCATATAAATATTAGAAGAAACCTTAGGTAGATTCTTTAGAAGACAGAAATATATGGACTGCTTTCCCATCTACTCACAATATTGCAAAGGACAATGGCAGTAAATACCACAGGAAATAAAACCCATTTGTGAAACACAAAATGAAGCTGTTGAATTCTCAGAGTTCTTTTCATTGTTAAATTTCAGTGATTTCTTGGAATTTAATAGCATCATGGTGATTCTTACTATTCATGTATATAATAATAATTAAAGAAATGGTGCATTCAATAGGGAACTGCAGTTCTAAACATAGACTGGTAAAAAGTTTCAGCCACAAGCAGAATACTGGATTTTTAGATAAATGGCATTATCTTTCCATATTTTCAATTCCAACATTATAGTAAAGTATGGTGTAAGCAATAGATTATCACTTTGTATTTCAGTCCTGACTCCTCATGCCGTCCAAATGCATCTAGGTTTTCTTTTAGTCCTAATATAATTTATTTTTAGTGATAATATGATTTTATAAGAGTAAATGATCGTTTGTAAACTTTATTTCCTTGGGGATAATATGGTTTGACTCAGTTCGTGCTGAGTCTGTCATGTTTCAATTCTTTTTTTTTTTATTTATTTTTTTTGGAACAAGAGGAGTTCATTATGCTCTTATTCTTATTTTATTTTAAATATTTTTACATCTTTTTTTTTATTTTTGCACAATGTATCCTATGCTATTTCAGCTCCTGCTTTTATTTGTTTGAAGATTGATTAAAAATACAGAGCTCAGGGGTCCTCCTTGGTGGCACAGGGGTTAAAGTCTCAGCACTGTTGATCTGTTGCCAGCCACTAAGGCATGACTTCGATCTCCAGCCAGGGAGCTAACCAATATGGCACAGCAGACCTCTCTTGTCTTGCCTGCTGCTCCCATCAGCAGTGTATTTCAGTCAGTCAGCCTGTTCTACTCCCCGCTCTGTCTCTGGTGAATCCTCTTACCAGCTCACACACACACCTCTGGCCTACTCGCCAGGTCTTATATGCATAAATAAATAAAAGAAAATCTTTAAAAAATACAGAGCTCACAAAGACAAAGTTGAGAATAGCAGTTGTTGTTTGGATATCTTAATAAACAGCACAATCTCTCACTGGGACTTTGTGCAAGTTATTTAGCTAAGTTGTTTCAATTTCTCCATCTAAAATGAGAAACATAGTAATAATTTATGGTTATTTTCTGAAAATAAAATGAGCTAAGAATTAAAAAAAAAAATCTTAGCACACTGTGACATCAGTAAATATTAGTTCATAGTGATAATTAATTATTTTTAGCTATGGTATTTGACCTTACAACATTTTCATTTTCTGAAGAAATAGCGTTTAAAACTTGAAAATATGTAAGAATTTTGGCTTGGGATGTTTTGCAGAGGGGTCATTTGTATTTCCTTTCTTGATAGTCTTAATAATTTAGTCCAGTTTTATCATGTAACAAAGAATTTTTTTTAAAACAATGTTAATAATCCCTTATTTTCTTAGTGAAAATTGTACTAAACCCTTCAAGATAAAGGAAGACACCCATCACTTAGAAACCCTTACTGTTGCAAATGACATGATGCTCACCAGGCTTTCACCCTCTCCACACTTGTCCCAAAGGAGTTTTAACTTTTTTTTTCCCCGGAAAACTTGGTCTCACGACCATCTGTTTCTGGATCCCATACATGAAATGTTATTTAAACATGCAACATTTGGGCACCAGCCCAGAAATAGTAAATCTGAATCTCTAAAGTTGGGCATCAGCACACGCCATTTGGTGCTTCTGCAAAGTGAAGGTTGAAAAATTTGAATTCATTAGAACACACGAAAATACTGTCCATTTTTCTGCCTACCGGGTTTTACAACCTGGAGCAGATGCCCCTTTCTATTACAAATAAGCCTCAGCTTCCCTCATGGATCAGTTAACTAAATGAACAGTTTGCTGCAAGCAATTTGGGGGCTCCAAGCAGAAGTATGGACCTGTTATGGTCTAGGAAAAAACTATACTAGAAATTAATATCAAAAATTGCTATACTTTTTTTTTGGCAAAATGTTATAAGACTTGGAAAGATTCATAGGTTTTTTGTTGTTCCTTTATCACTTTGGGATACCCAAGCCATCACTTTGAACATTATCTCAGCCTTTCCAGCCTGTTTAGAACCTTCTTTTCTCAAAATAAAATGATTTTTAATAGGAATGATGACATTTGAGGAAAATTAGTGAAGTGTACTTATAATTTAACAAAATGTGTTTTTTGTTCAGAAGTGATTTTGAAAAGTTGATTATTAGTAAAGGAATTAGAAGGTTACTTTCTGCTGTTAAAATTAGATTCTGGGGCCTCCGTGGTGGCGCAGCGGTTGAGCGCTGGGTTGTGAAGCTGCCCGCAGCCTCTACAGCGCCAGTTCTATCCCCAGCTGCTCCCCGGCCACAGGAGGAGGGTCCCACATGGCGCGCAGACCTCTCCTGCCACCCGCTGCTCCCCTCAGCAGTGTACTTCGGTCCTTCTGCCTGCTCTGCTCCCCGCTCTATCTCTGGTGAATTCTCTCACCCTCCCGCCCTTCTGACTGTACCCAGTGCATGTATAAATAAATAAAATAAATAAATAAAAATAAATCTTTAAAAAAAAAAATTAGATTCTGAATGGTGGTTTCCAGAGCGGTGAGGGTGGGAGAAAACAATAAAGACCTCCGTTGGATGGTGGTGATGGTAACTAGACCATTGGTGGTGGGTGTGGTGGTCTATGTAGATACACTTGTCAAGGTGTGAAGCTGCACCCTAAAATTTATAGTGTTATAAACCAGTGTTGCCTCAATTTAAAAAGTTATATTCTGAAAATATTTACCACATTAAACATTATTTTTGTGTTTTTTTTTAACAGGACTCTTATTGCCTCCTAAGGGGAATGTAGATATTCCCGTGTTATTTGTCCCCCACATTATGAAATTACACAAAACAATAGTTATTGTTGAAATGGTGAGGGCAAATGGAAGAGACTGGCCTATTGATAATTTTGATGAGTTGAGCTCCCAGATGAAAAGGTAACATTAAAAAAGGATAATGAAAGAAAATGATTTCATTTTGACTGGCTCTGATGGGATTAGTTCCTTTTATATGTTATGCAATGTAAAATTCATGATTTCATATTCTCGAAAGTGTTGTAACTTACATGTTCAAAACAGGAAATATATATTTGTTGTATGAGTACAGTATATGTCACTGCTATGTGGAGTTGGAGTGATGAGCAAATTAATCTAGAATATATCAATATATCAGAGTCAGAGACGTGCAAAGGGACTCCTTTTGGACTGGGAAAACAGAAACTATTAAGACTCTAAATAATCTATATCTAGAGAACAACCTGGATCAGCTTGTCTGGGCAAAATATAGAAGGCAATTTTGACACTCACCAAGTGATAGCGCTGTGCCCAATGAATATGGCTTCTTGATAAAACACACCTTTCACTATGGAATAATGTGCCATTGATAGAATACAGCTTCCTTATACCCCTCTTTCCTTTGCTGACATTTAATCAAACTCCAATCATCATGCAAAATTTAAATGTGTTCTCTGCTTTTATCATTTAATTAAATAAGTTGGTCTAGAAATCATAATTAAAAAGAAATTCTTGCCCCACAAGTACCAATTTCTTTGCCACATTTAAAACATTCTTTTAGGGGCCCCATTATTGTCCACTGGGCCATGCTTTTCATCACTCCTGTAGTCAAGACTGCCTGCATGATCTGTGGGCCCCAATATAAAATGAAAATAAGAGGGTCCTTGTTCAAAAATTAAGAATGCCAAGATAGTTACAGTAGTATATTAAACAAGCAAGGACACTGAGTGCGGGTTTTTGTGCTATGGCATAGGTCACATGACCTTGAAGCTGGTCTGTCTGCTGTGTGCCTGTTTTGTTTTAACAAGTAAAGCCCATTTTCAACAATGACTGAATCATTTTCTAGTATTGCTGTCTTCCTGATGGCATATGACGGTTTTCTGAAAAATGCTCTTTCTTCTAACTGATATCCTCTGAAAGTAAATCCCCCCATTCTGAAGTTCTGTCCTTAATGGCATTTTTCAGTGTTTTGTGCTTCATATATTTACTTGAGTTGTGACCCATGGGAAAGGTATTACCTCTGATTAATCATTGTTTAGTCACATCAATAAATACCAAACCAAGTGTTAAAAGAAGGGGGTGGAAGTTCTTCATTTTTAGCTTATATCTCATGATAGTGTTATTACATATTCTTTGTGATAATATTTATAAACATTACAGCATTTGCAGAAAATGTTTTTTATGTCATGCTTACTTCCACTTTGCCATCGTCTAAATTTGCGAAATTTCCTAAAATTACACTAGATTAGTGAAGAACATATTATTTTGTGCTTATTTTGATAGTATTTATGTCTTTTGTTCATGCTTAATAATTTGATTTCTAATTAGAATAATGGGAGTGAACAGCGCAGAAATTCGAGCAATATACTGGATGTTTCCCGTTCTTGGACTTCCACAGGCACCGCATGCTAAAACTCCACAACGTAGGTCCATTGCGAGTCTAAAACCTGTTCTAGTAATTGTTTTTATGTACAAATGTCTTGAGAAAAACATGGATATGATTTTATAAACACACACTGTTTACTTGCCCTAAGTCCATTCTTCACTTGTAAGAACACTTTAGAGGTAATATTGTTTTCCTGGCTTAACTTTATCACCATTGATGTTTTAGTATTTCTTTTTTATGGAATGTGTCTCAAACCCAGGGTACTTCTCTTGTTCTGTGAGCCACCATTTCTCTTTGTGCACTTTTATATTCTATTGTCCATTGGGGCAGGTAATTGAAAAAGGATCTCACTCCTTGTCTCAGTATAAAAATAATAGAATGTGAATCCATGGTGATTTATTTGCCAGGGCACTCACTCATTTCCTAAGGACTAACAGGACAACACCAGTGACATGATGCTAATTGTAACTTTGATCACACACTTATTTCCAATTTAATGCTTTAAGAGTAAAGCTAATTATAGCCAGAAAAGCTATATGTTTTCCTTAGCCATTTCAACCCTCATAATTTGCATCATACCTTTGTACCCTTATTGTACATTTTGTATACGATTCTAAGTCCAAAATGTTTAATATTAACCTGTAAATTTTAGAATTAAGAATAAATTTATTTGAAATATTTTATACTCTAAATGTGGTATACATTGTGAAAACAGTTAAATTTGTGGACATTATCCAATTTTGCCACTTAGATTTATATATATCATTATTGATACCACAAAAACATAGTATACTTTTTTAATGTCATGACTCCCTTTTTATCCCAGTTTTTTTTTATTTATGTCCTATGTACATATAAATTATACTCTATTTTAGAGAAATAATATTTATATAAACACTATACATGGACTTATAAATTTATAGAGGTAATGCTAAAGGAATGCATCAATACTCTTGTCTATAATTAATAGTTATATATAGCAACAACATTTTGTCTTTTACAATATCACTGACAACTTCTCTTGCAATAGGATATAAGGAAATATTAGAATTGAATATATATATGAATTCATAAATGAAAATAAAGTATTTCACTTAAAATTTAAATGTGAATCATAAGATGTAAATGAATGATATAATAGGAAATATTTTAAGTGTAGTTACAAAAATAAATGTTGTAAAACTTATTTTTTTTAATAATTGAAGATGCTTTATTGTATTATCATAAAAATAGTTTGGTATTTACCACAATGAACATACAGATAGCTGAAAAAATTCACATCTTCACAACCACCACTTGATTTATTGATATAACTAAGGTTAGTTTCTGAGTTAAATTTCTACATCCTAAAATGATCTTCTATAATCTAATATATATCTTGTACATTTATCTCTTTATTTTATTTTTGTATATTAGTTAATATTCATATTTGCTTCCAAAATGTCTTTATAGATGTTGCATGAGTGTCTTTGTGTGTGTGTATGTGTGTGTGCCCTAATGCCATATTCAATGACAAGTCAAAGTATGCCAAAGGGACTTTTATTTTTCATGATATCATTCATTACCTTATATCTCAAGAATAGCATATAATCAAATCATCAAATTAAAAATATTTCTATCCTGCAGATACCATAACATGTCAAGCCAAGAAGCGAATAGAAGAGGAAGTGCGAGTCACACTAACTGGTGATTTTTGGGGAGACTGTCCTATATTCAATCCATCAGATTTTATAGTGCTTCCAAAAAGAAATTCAAATGATCATTATGAAGATCTTATTGGTAAGCGAACTACAATCATAGACATTAAAATATGATCGTAAGTAAAAATGCAGATTCCTTAAATTACAGGATGTTGATTGCTCAGTTACATGAAAATCCATGGCCATTTATTTTTTATTTACAGTATGTCATCAAAGTAATACTCAATGAATATTATGTTTGTTCTCTTTACATAGTAACTTCCAGAATGTCAATTATTATGATGATTAAGAAATTTATAAAAATAGATAATTATTTTGTCAATGGTGAGAAGAAAAAAACTATTAACTATAATTTCCACTTTCCTTTTACTTTAGTATCTTCATATACACTCTCTGATTTAAGGAATATCATTGAAGCCATGTCTTGCAACTTTCAATTTAGAATAAAATATTTTAAAAATTGAATAAAATATGTCTTATTTAAAGAATCAAAAATGACATGAATTAGATCTAAAGCCCAATTTTTATATAAGAAGCCTTCTGATATTTAAGGCCTTAAATCAGACTTTTCACAAAGTTAATATGGTGGTCTGGCAAAATCACGACTCAATGATGCAAACATTATTTTTGAACTGTCTTCCAGTTGTACTAAAGTAGAATGTTCCTATTTCACATTGAAGGGGAAGTTCCTATAGCAATATAGTACTTTATTAAAAGCAATTGGGGAAATCTATATCCACGTATTATTTTAAAAGTAAATTGACCACAAATTTAAGTATGAAATTCCTTGCAGAAATAAAATATTTCCCCTAGTTTTTTTATCCATATCTGTCTACAGCTTTTTCACTTTGATCTTAGTATTACTATCTCTGTATCTTTCCTATTTTTTCAGTGATAATTAAATGATCTATAGCTGGAGACTGATAGAAAGTATACAAGCATATAGAAAGAGTATACAAGAGATACAGTAAAATAGTTTTTATTTTTTTATATTAGTGGCAATTTTTATTTAGTAAAAAATATTTTAAACAATTCATGAAACCAGTTTTATGTATTATCGTCACATGTTTCCAATCACGCTTGAGTGGTGGAAACATGTTAGAAAATAAACCAGCTACTTTAAATGAGACCAAATAACAATGTGAAACAAGACAGGCTGACTTCTCCTTCACAATAGAACTGGAAATCATAGGAGATCGAGCCATGTAGTACCTCTGTCCCTTGGTGTTATCCAGGGACCTATTCCTTTCCTTTTCTTGTTTCACTATCCTGGAGTGGTCACCATCCTCATGATTGACTGTACAGTCTTATCTCAATTGGAGAGCATGACCTGAGGATGCACATATCATTTCTCCTTACATTCTAGACCCGGCTACAACTGAGGCTGGAAAATGCTGTTGATAGATACAGAAAAAAAATTGGGGCCATTCTATTACTAAATGAAGGGAGAAAATAAATATTGGGGAAATAATTAGAAGTCTCTGTCATATTTCATTCACTGTGAACTAATAAAGTCTACCATCAATCCACCCAAAAGTACTTAAAAAAAAAAAGATTTATTTATGCATACAAGAACTGGGGTGTAGGCCAGAGGTGCAGGGAGTGAAAGGATTCACCAGAGACAGAGTGGGAAGCATAACAGGCAGATTGACTGAAGTACACTGCTGAGAGGAGCAGCAGGCAAGACAGGAGAGGTCTGCTGCAACATGTAGGTCAGCTCCCTGTCTGGGGATTGAACTCATGCCACAGTGGCAGGCAATAGCTTGATAGCGCTGAGACTGAACCCTGTGCCACCAGGAAGGCCCCCAAAAGTACTTCTTAAGAACCTTTTATACATCAAATTTTTAAGGGGTCTGGAAACAGCTCCTCCCTTATCCCTCTCCATCAGGCTGGTGTCCCCACTCTTTAGGATGGAGTCCCAGTCAGTATCTAGTCAGCATGTCAAGTCCCCTAATGCAATGAGAATCCAAATATAACTAGCTGGTGCTCTGTACAGCCCCTCCAGCCATGGCCTGAGTACCACCTCCCTTTTCCCACGTTCCTGTTCCCCCTGTCTGCCATAGTTGTTGTTACTCCTGTGCCTTCTACCCTCTCCAAACCCAGATTAGAATCTTATTGTTATCATTGCCGACTTATTTATTAATCTGTGTATGTCTCACAATGACTATCCTAAGTTTTTTTCTATTTTGTGTTCATTTTAAGAGTATTTTTCATCAAAGAAACCCTATGAAGTTAATAGTATCAGTGCATTGTTGTTTTACAAGTAAGGAAATCTAATTAAGAGAAGATACAACACAGCCATGGAAGGGGCGGTATATAAATACAGACCTGACTCTATCTTTAAATTATTTACTTTACATTAATTAGTTTTTTTTTATTTACTAGATAGTTATTGATGGTATAAGCCATGTGAGATAAGAGGAAAGTAATACTATTATTAGATTGCACAATAAAATGTTTAGTTTTTAATCATGTTCATTTATTGTTTCTTTTTTCCCTTTCATTGAATTTTAGTTTTGTAATTGTAAAAAATGCCTAGTGAATCACAGACCACTTAAATTTGTAAAAATTGAATTACATTTCTATGATAAGGGAATTTTCTGTTTCAAGACTTGGAAACTTACTGTTTGTTTAAAAAAAAAATATCCATTGAGATGGCAATACTTGATGGGAGTATCCAAATAGTATCTCAATTTAAAATAAATGCAAAGCATTAAGAAAAAAACTATCCATTAATAATGAAATTAGACTGATGTAAACCATTTCCATTTATCCCAAAAGCATTATTACAAGTTTGATACCAATTTTGCTTTATTGATCATGTAGTAGCATTTGAAAGATGTAGGAAATATAATATTTAAGGAAATGAAACCCTGTTCACTTTCTTCTCTTCAACCAGTAACCAGTACTGAAAGGGTATTCTGATAGTTTATGCAGATCAGTGATAAAAATATTAGTATAAATTAGCCTTAGAGTTCAAATGTATAACAGAACTGTCAATTTCCAGTGACAAATATATGTAAGTACTTTTTATAATGGAACATAATTTTAATAAGCAGACAACTTAGTAACCTTGCCCCCAGAGAATATCTAGTCTCTTTCTAAAATGATATTATTTTGTGTGTCATCCTACTATGCTTAACTAAATTTTAGTAATTGCTTATTCAAACCTTGATTCTATCTGAAATCTATCCTGTTAAAAACAAATGTTGATTTTATGACATTAAGTATAAAGCAAGGTAAAGAAATTCTTGTATATAGTAACCATTTTAGGATGCTCTTGCTACTTTGTTTCTTAAGTTGTACTTGTCAGGTTGTAAGCTAAATAAGTTAAAAATCTGGTAATAGAAATTGATTAAATCCTATTACCTGTAAAAAATGTGCTTCCTTCTATATAAGTCGGGTCTATAAGGAAGGTGTCACCATCATTTTGGGGGGTTGAAAGTCATATTAGGAAAACAATCTCTCAAATAGCTCTTGAAAAATACACCTTTGGATGTTGCTCATATTTCACTGCTTCATTGCTTTTCATGATGAAAAAATAATACTTAACTATTGAACGTAAGCATATGGAAGATTTGCAGGCTTGTCTCACCATGCCCTCCCAAATAACTTTTTCTCTTTCAGTACCACCAAACTCAAGAAGCTCATCAATATTTTGTATAAAGGCACTTTAATTGGTGAATTCTTCTAAAGCAGGTCCTACTGTGCAAAAGTAGATTTTTTTCAGTTCCTTCTCAACTTTAATGTTTTCCTCAATGATATCTAAATATTTGATAAATCAATCGACCTTTCACTTTTCTGGGGTTCTTACAGGCATCTGATAATAACTTGATTCCTTTTCCTGCCCTTATTCCAAGGGTGTAACCAACTTCCTTCGCCCTCTGTGACTGTCTCCACTTGCCCTTGCCATCCCACATCAGTCTTTATAAAGAGCCTTGTCTGACCACATGGTCTGAACACTGTTTTAGACTTTAGTGTATGCAAAGGCAAAGCAGCTATTTCCCCCCATATTAGTAATTTAATTATAGTTTACTCAGTACATTAGTCATGGTTTTTATGCCAGTTTTAGTTCCTCGTGTCTCTTAACACCCTTCCAGTGGAAATTAAAGTACTTTACTCTGTAACTTGGCCCGTGATGGGGTTTCAAGCACTATTATTAATTGCACCCAGTATTCTCTCACCCAAGTTTATAGTCTTCAGAAGTAGATGTAGAAATGAGACTATACAGGGATGAAAATGTTACCTGGTATTATTTATAAAGACCAACTGGAAAATGATTTGGTATTATGGACCCCTCTGGGCTTATTAATATGTATAGTCCACTGACATGGGGTGTATTTACCCCAAACAAGTCAGGTGTGTATTCTTTATAAGAACAAACAACCTACACATGAAGAAAGAGAAGAATGTGTGTACTGGGTACAAGACGTTGGGAAAGAAAGTGTGTTCGTCTGCTCATGTCCTTTTTCCTTCACCCAAGTTCGCTGCTTAGATATGATGCTTTTTCTCCACTGACAAGTTATGATGGAGGAGGCAGAATGATGCTAAGATTTTTTTTTTCTCTCCTATTCTTTCCCCTTCTGTGAATGAATAGGCTCCTCTATGGGAACATAAGTAGGACATAAGAATCCCTACTACTCCCTTCACATCATCCTTCCTTTGTTTTCATCTTCTCCTTTTCCCAAGAGTTTGATAACCCTTTCAAGCAGTATAAATGAAAATGCCAGGACCTCTGTGTCCTTTCTACCCTTCAAACACACACCATTGAGTAAAACAGGATTGATTGATCACTTTCATATCTTTTTCATTCACCAACAATCTGTGGAGCATTTTTGCTGCCAGATATTATGCTGAGCCCCAGAGATGTGAAAATTAACAAGACACAGACTTGTCAATGAATTTAAAGAACATTTATCCAGTATGTTAGATGTATGACCTGCACTATTTAAATCAATTGGTATTGCCCTACTGAGATATTGTTATACTTGGATTTTTATATTGTGTTTTGCAACGAGTGAAATTGCATTTTAGTGAGATTACAAATTCTTCCCTTTGGGCAGAAATTAGCCTATAATT